TTTGCACACATGTGGGCATGAACAGACATATGGGTGTGGACACACATACACACAGAGACATGTGCATGGATGCTGACATTCAGGCACACACAGATATGGACACGCATAGGCTCTGACCTCCTGACGCCTTGCCTACAGCTAGCTTGTCCTTCTGCCTCAGCTTCAGGGGGTGAAGGGCGAGTCCCACCAAGACTCGGACTGGTGCTCCACCTCTGAGTCCCGGGCACAGGAGTCCAAGGCGCTTCATCAGCAATGTCCCTTTTGAGGTTCATTCCGGCCCAGCTCCTAGGGGGGTCTCTGACCTCTGCTGCAGGGCAAGGGGAAGGGAATAGGTGGCCCTTGACGGAGATGGCTCTCTCAGTGAAGCAGTCTACCCTCCAGCACCCACATTCTGTGATCACATCCCGGGAGCAGAAACCCAAGGGCAAAGATCTTATAGAAGCTTTCCAGCTTCAACTGAAGGAAGCTGCAGAGAGACCAGTGTTGAATGGCTCTAGGCAGCCCTCTCAGAGTGTTTGTGAGATCCTGAAATTCTGCAAGAGCAGCATGGATCCGTGGGACCACAGACATCTAGCTATTTGGAGACCAGAACTCTATGTGTTCTCAGCTTGTCCCCTGTCCTAGCTATCTGTCCCCTTGGCCTCAGGTGAGGAATAACTAGTTGGATGTGCTCCCACTGCATAGGGGAGATGGACATGAGGACAGAGAGGATGCCTAATGGGGTTCCAGAAGCAACCACTCTCCGCTGACATCCCCACTCACCCACCCAACAGTGGCTGAGCAGAGCCCTTCTATACCAGCCTCCCTGACTGTGCTTCCCCAAAGGGCCCAGGACACATCAGGGGGCCTCAACTGAGGCCCAGCCCCTTGTTTTACTGGCCCTCTTTGGCATTTTAGACCCCTAGGATGGCTGCAGTCCATTTACTTTGACCAGGGTCAGCTGTTCACCCTGAACCCACCTACATCTACCCATCAGGTGCCAAGGTGATCACAGGTCAAGCCTGGCCAGAGACTCTTCCAGAAAGATCGGGAGGTGTTCACCTCAAATGGCAGGCAGAGCAGGTGCAGCAGGAGCCTGGGGAGTATGCTCCCTATACACACACAGTTCCTTGCTAGTATCACGCACCTCTCTCTGCCCAGCACTCTGTCTACCCACTGTCCTCTTGCTTCTGCTGCCGCCACCCTATCATGGGTGCAACCCTGGGGAAAGCTGGGAG